TTACTGATGGAGGGCGCCACCAACTGGTAAGTCATTGTCAGCCACGTGTCCGGATACTTTTGATCGCATAGTGTAGTTCTGCATGATGGAATTTTCAATCGAGAGCCGTTCTCACGATAATCGAACACTGAGAATCTGTATTAGAATGTCTGACAAGAATTCAAGAAATTAGCATGCAAACAATTACTATCAAGCAGGCCCATGAGTTACAACTTAAATTGCAGGAGCGTACATTTGAATTCTGATTTTTTTCTTTCTCGCTACCGCTTACGCAGAAGAGAGAAAGGTTATGTAAAGCTGCGCGAAAAATGGCAAATTTTCGGTAGAAAAACTCCCATAACGGGGCCCTGGCAACAAAAAAGTGGATAAATCCATATGCTAAATTTAGTTTAAAATCCTCTAATACTTAGTGTAGCCAGAATCCATGTTTTGTGGTTTCTTGATACCGTAAAATTGAATGGCGGCAAAACGTCTATCTGTCGATCTGTGAACAACGGTAGCGGATAAACCATTCAGCTGATTTTCTCCAAAATTAACATTCCCTAATCGATCTTGCTGATGTCACGGTTCCTTGAATTTATAACCAGTATTTCAATTTGGGAGGGTACTTTAAATGAAGCCCCTGGAATATTTTTTAAATTTTCAAAAAAATGGCTTCGTCAGTTTTTGATTAAATTTTGTTCTTGGATAGTATGAAGGTCGTTTAAGAGAAAGGTGTAGATCTCAAGTTCATTAAAAGTCCTGACTTTTCAAAAATTGCAAAAATTCAGATATTTTCTGCTGACAACTAAAATATTAAAGACAGAAGTTTTTTCCTTTAATGAAATCTGTCCCTTAAATATAGATTTTGTAATAAGGCAATGTACAATTTTTCGAATATTTGAATACTTTTGGCGTATTTTTGAAGGATATATCGGCAATTTTTAATTTTGTTTAATTTTTTTCTCAAAAACTGCAGCAACAATTTTTATTAAATTTTGACATTGGATAGCGTATAGCACACTTAAGAGATTAGTGCAGATCTCATATAATCATATCATGGTACAGGTCTCTTGTTCGTTAAAATGCCTAACTTTTCAAAAATTGAAAAAAAAAAAAAAAAATCGGCGTCTTCCTATAAATATAATTGTGAAGATACATTTTTTTCTTAATGAAATGTGTTTATCAACAAAACAATCTTTAAATAAAGTCATGTTGAATATTTCGAAAATATGAGTATATGCCGTCGGGTGCTTTTTAGTTCTAAACTCAAAAGAAAAGAAATGCACTGTATTTGAAATACATGAATTTATGTATTATTCATTTTGAATGGCGTGGAATTTACTTGGTTTCTGGAATGCGTGTACAATCTACGTTAGCAACATTTTTCACTGACATTTCGTAAATTGTTATTCTGAACATTGTGCTGCATACACTGAATGTGGAATGCATATCGCGCGGGTAAGCAAGTTCAGACGAAAACAGCACCGCAACTTTTACAGCAAACCTTGAAGACTGTAAGAAGGTAGCTCAACTCTGGTAGTGGGGATGTGAATGAAAAACGTGGACAGTTAATTGTGTAAACTGAACTAAAGCGACATCACACTGCGGATGAAGAAACCTTTTCACTGTATTTTACTGCTGATGGCAGTAGCGCAGACGTCAATTTCATGTGTTCATGGGGCATGTCAACGCCATCTATACTTATTTTCACACACCAAAGTTTGGGCTTCGTGGGTTTGGTCAAGTAAAATAAATGCACTACGTTTGCCGCAAGAAGGGTAGATAAGTTCGTTCGTTCACTACTTGATGTCGCTAAAGTTCAGAATAGCCAACTAGCTACTGACGTTTTTCGTTCTCTCCTTCTTATAGTCGTCTTGGGGCTTCATGCAGCGAACTGTGTGGTATTCGTGGTATTGGCTGGCCAGCAGGCCTGCAGCGGCACCACCGGCATATCACACTGTGATGATCACAGCAGCAGGCTGTTCTACACTAGCATTGCTCGGTTCCTCCTGTTGAGCCAGCCTGGCCACAATCAAGCATTGTAACTTTGGTGTTGTGTATGTCAGCCGCACAGTTCGCTTCTCTACACCCTGCGCGGAGTGTAGATAGAAGCGGAGTAATTCCAGTACAATTTATTTTACGTAGTAGCTGATATAAAGCTGTACAGGATCCTGTGTGGTCTCTGATCCCGGTCAATCCACAATGAATAAAGTGTTGATCTATTCGAGAAAGCCGTTGCGATATTTTTTACTATGTATTGATATGTAATTAATATGGAATTTAAAGTACTAAATAGCAAGTTGCAAGAAATATGTACATACGAGTGTTTTTTACTCTTTTGACAAGTTGGCATTTGTAATCGCTGTCGTGGCCAAGAACTTCTGATTTTAGTCCTGCAAAATGGATGAAACTATTATGTTACTTGTGTTAGTTATAGTTATGTTACTCGGAAGTTACATTGCAGGCAATATACCGCTGATAATGTCACTGTCAGAGGTGAGATGTGACTAGAAGCATTTCTTTTTCGCATATCGTAGAGCAGATGTTAACACTATTTATTTACAGGAAAAGCTCCAGCAGGTGTCAGTGTTCGGTGCTGGTTTGTTAGTCGGTACAGCATTAGCTGTAATCATTCCTGAAGGTGTCAGGTCTCTGGATTTAGCCGGAAGTAAAGGTGAAGTGAATGTGTTAAAATATCTCTCACTAAATAATTCTAAGTTGTTTAGTTTCTAATGCAACTTTGTGTTGAAATATAGATTCCAATCATGCTGCTACAAATCATGCAACAGTTCCCTTGACATCAGAGAGCAGTAATCACATGGAAGCTCATTCTTTAATTGGAATATCATTAGTGTTAGGTTTTGTATTTATGTTGTTAGTAGACCAATGTTCATCAAGGCGAAGAGGTATGAACAGTCCTGTTTAATGTTTGTATATAAATAATATTGGGGATACAATAAATAATTTTTTACTTTTCCTTAAAAATGAACTTTTCAGATGTAGAAGGATCATTGTCCGTTGAACGAAATTATACTGCAACACTCGGACTTATAGTACATGCAGCAGGTATGTTTTTAAGTTTATCACAATGACATTAGAGGCAATAGTTTATTACATTTTTTGTTGTTGTTGTAGGTAGTAAACATGAACATGTTCAGGAATTAGTCCCTTTTTGCATTAAGTCAGTTGTTATGTAATGTAAAAACATATATTAAATTTCACATTCATTAGCACCAACATTTTGACAAGTGTTCCTTGTCATCTTCAGGGTTTGTTCATTTTTACATTTTGAAAAACATGTATAAGATGTTTTAATAATTATGTACAATGAAGTCTAAAAGATAAATGAGTACTCACTACAAGTGGATTTGGCCCACCTGTTATTTTATGTTAAATTGAATGATACATTGTCGGTTTTCGGCATTTTGTGCGAGGGTTTACTTCAATCAAAACTTGTATAGCCTCAGTCTCTGAAAGGGGCTTTATGTGTAATTGTGAGAAAATGAACTTACTATCATTTAACTGTGCATAAAATGACAGGTGAGCCAAATCTATTTGTAGTGAGTTATTTTTTCTTTACTTAATTGTATATAATTTTTAAAACCTTTTATGAATTGCTTTCTAGATTTAAAAAATGTACAAACCCTAATGAGGACAAGGTACACTTGTTGAAACATTGGTGCTAATGAATGTGAATTTTAATAAACAGTTTATTTTGTATAAAAACTGTCTTGATCAAAAAAGGACTAATTCCTGAACACGAAAAAATAACAAACAGTATATAAAAATAAAATCAAGTAAATGTGAATCCTTTTTCATTTAAACATAGCAGTATTAATATAACCGTGGTCACACTGTAAGATATTAATTCAATATTTTGAAATTAAATAATATTGTTATTTATTGTGTTTATGAAGGAGCAAATGAGGAATTTATGTTCGTTTCTTTGGCTTAAGGTGGCCAATGAAACTTGAATATATAAAAAACCTGGACTGTAGGAACTTGGTGAAAAATTTCCATCTTACAACTTACGTATTATTGATTAGGAATGTTTACTGCAAATATTAATTCTTTGAATGCCACTTTCGATACACACTATGACCTCATGTGGCCTTGCTTTAAAAATACTTTCAAACATCATTTATGCTTTCAAATTTTCTAATAGTTTTCAAATGAATAAATTTCTCATTTTCATCATAACATGTGACTAGCTTTGGTAGCTCAGGGCATCTATTGATGTCTGCAGTGCCTCTGACTGGAAGGTCGTTCAAGACCTAATGGTGGTAGGAGTTTTAACACTAGCTTGATAGCTAATTCAGTTGTTGTGTGTGGGAAAATTCTAGCGACTGGATGCTCGAACAAGTAGTTTTACGTGGTTTCCCTGATCAACACCAGGCGAATGCCGGAGTCGTATCCTAACAAATGGGCCACAGACTGCTTGTGATCTTTCCTTGCCCATCCTTTTCCTATCCTCAGCCCTTACAACTACTTACGTGTACGTGCCCTACACAACGACATGTTGGGAGACCAGTCAGGGGCTTAGAACCTGGCCCATCTAGGGCAGTGCCTCACTGGTTTATAATTATTTAGAAGTCTACTTTTAGAAAAAAATAATGGTCGCTTCCCCAAGTTGTCCTCTGTAAGCTTTCATATCATGATTAAAATGTATGGAATTTTCATAATCGAGGTATTTTTGTGAACATACTTGTTTAGGCTCTCTTCATTGAGGTTTCATTGAAGCAGTTTCTATTCCATGAAACGAGTTCAATATCTTATGTAGATGTATTTTCTGTTCCATTTTGTTAACAGCTGATGGAGTGGCCCTGGGGGCAGCTGCTACAACAGCTCACACTGATGTGGAAATGATAGTGTTCTTAGCTATCATGCTACACAAGGTACTCAAAAATTGTTTTGCTAGAATGTAGGAATGTTATGAAAATTTTAAATAAAAGATTAAGATTTCACTTTGAGAAGTTAACATTTAATAGTGGACCAAATCAAAATAATTTGTCAACTTTATAACTTGCTTAATTCTTGAAAAATCTGTTGTTCATAATATAATTTAGTTGTATGATATTGGTAATTATATATGTAACAATATTTCTTCTCCTATTTCTTCTACTCATTGTAGCCCCCTCTGAAACTATTTCTAATCTATTTTGCAAATTTAAAGCCCCCCCCCCAGTTTTGAAGAGGCCCCCTGAGAAATTTGTAAATTTTTAACTAATTTGTACTATTCAGTCATAATAAAATTGTATGTTGTCTTATTCACTTGAAAATTGTCTTATTGATGAAAATGTTGAAACTTATTTTCTTGTTCCTTAAAATTATTATAATCGTGGTTTTTGACACTACCCTCATCATCTTCACATTTATCAATGTTTTTTCTTTTTGGTCCTTCAGCCATGCAATGATATCTGATTTTATTATGACCCTCTGAAAGTTTTTCACATTGATTTAGCGTTGTTCTTAAGTCTTGAATTCCATAATGTTCAACAGGGAACATTAACATTTGAGTTTTTTGTCACAAAAGGATAGTGTAAAGTCATTAATTCTTCATGACTATGTACAATCTGTGTACATAAGATGACCCAGTACTTTTCGAATGAGATATTGAGGAAAAAATCTTATCTTATATTTGAGTATTTATCCAAATATAGTCAACATTGAATTACAACCCGATTTTACAAACTAACATTCCTGTGCAAGGATTATGAAAAAAAACAGCTCTCTTCCTTTCCTCCCTCATGTACAGGAAAAAATATGTTAGCAAAATATGTTCATTTGTATAAAAAATTATGCAAATCTAACTTTTAATTTTCTTATAAAATGAAAGTTAATTGATTTTGTTAAATGTAAATAATTTAAGAAGAATATGGCTTGAGGTATATGATTAAGATTTCCTTCTTGATTAAGATGCATTTCTTAAATGAAGCCTTCTTCTTCTTCTTCTTCCCCTGATGCGCCTCAGTATCGGGTTAGCTATTTGATTCCTTTTTGTCTTGTGCTTTGCGCTTCACATCTGCTAGTGTAGCTCCACTCCTTTGGCATATATCCTGTATGTATGCGTCCCATGTTCCTCTTGATCTTCCAGGTGGTCTCTTTCCCTTTAGACTGGCTTCGATCTTTTGTTTTGGCTTTCTATCCTCTGCCATTCTATTAACATGTCCATACCACTTCAGAGCCTCATTTTCCATTTCCTTCAATAGTGGTGTAACTTTTAGTTCTTCTCTAAATGTGTTATTTCTTATCTGATCTCTTGTTTTCCCTACTATCCTGCACATGAGTTTCATTTCCACTGCTGTGATTCTACTTTCTGTTTTCGTATTTTGTAGCATACTTTCAGTTCCATTTATAAATGTTAATATACATACAGACTTATAAATTTGGAGTTTTGTTTTAGTGCCTACATTCATTCTTAGTAAGTTCTTATTTATATGATAATACAGAGTTTGCTTTCTTTCTTTCTTCCTTCTATTATTCAGATCCTCCTCATATTTTCAGTCTTCAGAAATTATTGTTCCTAAATACTCATAACTTGTTACTTGCTCTATTTTTTCCTTTCTTCACTAACTGTTCACTTGCTCCTTTTCTTTTATTATACACATAACCTTGCTCATATTTATGTTTATCTTCATACCCCTATCCTCCATTGCATTACATACTCTATCACCAGATCTTGCAGCTCTATTGGATTTTTGGCAAGCAATAAAATATCGTCTGCAAACACCAAGGCATGTATCCATACCTGTCTCATTTTCCAATTTTATGTTTCTAAGTTCACCTTTTGGTTTGTTTAATAACCTGATCCATTCGAAGTTTCTCACTTAGTAGTCCATCCTGTCTTACAGTACATTTTTATATATGCTTTTAATTCACCTCATTATTTTGCTTGAAACCTTTGCTTTGTCCAGTGTGTGTCACAATTCTTTCCTGGATACTGTATCAAATGCTGACTTTAAATCTAAGAAAGCAGTGCATGTTGTTTTCCCCTACTCAGTTTTTTTTCAATTATGGTTCTTATAGTGTAAATACGATCTTGTGTTTGTCTGTACGGTCTAAAGGCCTGTTGCTCCTTCTCTCTAAAGTCTTCCTCTACCTCCCTTCTTAATTTTACTTCCACCGTCCTTGAGTACAATTTACTTATGCAGGATGACAAACAAACGTTTTCTCAATATACTTGATCATTTCTGCGCCCGCTGCATTCCCAACTAAATTTTTCTCATTGCCTCTTCTACATCTCTTTCCGTTATGGAATCCTCCACCTCTACCCCTCTCTCGTAGAGTCTCTCACTCACCAGGTTCAATTCGCCTTCCCTCTCTTTCCCATTTCCCATTGGCTCTTGGCGTTCTTGACTCTCACTCAACTGCCTTCAATCCTCAGTGGCTGTCTTGTTATTATCTTTAAAGATGTTTTCATAATACTTCCTCCAGGTTTCTAGTACCTCTGTCTGTTTTGTCTTTAAATTACTATTTTTGTTATGCTTCTGACAGCTTTCTTAGGTTTCCCTCTTAATCTATTTACTACCTGTCTTCCTTGTTCTTATGGTATAAAGCCTTAATATTACAAATATGAAAGTGCCTTTCATCACCTGTGTGAACGTTTCTTTCTTTCGGTACTGTTTTGTTAAGTTTGTGTTGGTACAAGAGCTTACAAATGGGCTTAATGTTGCAAAAATAAAAAAATTTAATTCTAAATAATTTGAGATTTACAACTAAAATTTACTACTAAATTAACTTTGCTTTTTCATGATTTTTAAGAAGGCTATTAATTAAATTATCTCTATAATTTGTTGTTGGAGAATTACCAAAATATTTTCATACAAATTTGAAAGTATCTGAATTATGTAAAAGGATGTTCTAAAATTAAATGAATTAGTTTAATAATGATTTCTAAAGTACAAATGGGAAATTAATAAAAATATAATTTTATTTTTCACTAAAATATTATGGGATTGACCTCTGCATGTTTAGAATTGATAAAATTTTGAGTTTCTCCAGATGTATTTTTAAAATGTGTGTTGTGCAAATATATGCTTCAGGGTCCAATTTTACACGAAAACTCTGCCATAGCCTTTAGTGTAAAAACTAGTCCCATTAAAGTCAAATGAAATTTTTGTACCATCAATGTTGACTTACATAATTATATACATTTACTTTTGGATTGGGTTTTATATTTTGTAAACTAATTAGCATAAGAGTTTACAGAGCAAATTGTTTATTTTATCCATTTGTTTCAATCATAAAATGACTTCTTCAGCTTTGATATTTTCAAACATGCCTAAAATTTCATTAATTTTTTTTTTCTTTATTGATAGGCTCCAGCAGCATTTGGCCTTGTAACATTTTTGTTACATGAAGGTCTCGACAGGAAGAGCATCAGACGTCAGCTTTTGGCCTTTTCCATTTCTGCTCCCCTTTTGGCATTGTTGACCTACTTCTTCATAGGGCAGGTTGGAATAAAAAAATAAAACTATTGTAATTGGCATCTCAAAATCTCCAAAATGTTTGATATAATGTTTTTGGTTGCAGGAAGGAAAGGAGACTTTGTCCACTATAAATGCAACAGGCATCGCCATGTTGTTCAGTGCTGGTACTTTTTTGTATGTTGCTACTGTACACGTTCTTCCTGAACTAACAGCTCGAGCAGGGCACAGCCATGGAACAGTTTTGTCATCAGATAGTGCAGAAAGGAAAGGCTTGCGCCCATTGGAGTTGTTTTCTCTTGTGTTGGGTACCCTTCTGCCTCTCTGCCTCACTGTAGGACACCATCATTGATTGACATTATTCTAGAAAATGTGATGCCTGTGTCTCAGGAAGACTTATCCAAGGAAAAGGAGCACCTGCTCTTTGACGCAATGCTTTGAGAATTGGAAAGTAAATAGTGCACCTGTTTCTAATCGGTTAAACAAAATTTCTTCCATATGGCATTCAGATATTGAGAATTACTTTTTGGAAAGGTGTAAATACAAGTTTATTTCAATTGCGTTTGTGGAGGATTTTTTTCGTGCATATGATATACTGATTGTGAAATGTCTGAGTAGAACTGCAGTCGAGAGCCGTATAACTATTCCTTGAACAGTCAGATTGGGGCAAATGGAGCCAAGTAATGCATATTGAAGTAATTTTATTTCCTTTCCTTATTTTTGCAGTTACTACAATTTTATCTGTATTACTTTTCGGGGTTAGCACAGGCATGTATGAAACAAGGGGAGATGATATGGTATGTTTGGAGTCAAGTTTAAAAGGAGATTGAAGATTGATTACCTCAAATAATATTAAATGAAGCTATCCCACTCATCTCTAATGTCTCCCTGCTACAAAGTTATTTAGGCTTGATGCAAAATAGGCCTCCTCTTTCAGATGCAGACAAACTTCTTAAAATACATGAAATTTGAAAAATAATACAAATAGCAAAGAATCAAACTGCTTTCAAATAATGTTTCAGTTAACAAAATATTATTGTTTCATTTTTATTACAGAACAATTCAGTTTTGGTTTTAAAACTGTTCCAAATAATAGTTATCTACCTTTTAATGATTTTCTTATTTATATTATTTATTTCCTGCTTCCATTATATTATTATTATTGTTATTATTATTATTATTATTATTATTATTATTATTATTATTATTATTAGTGTTAAAATGTACCTAACGATAAATATCAGAATTAAGATTATTCAAATTTTTATCGATTCCTTTCCCATCTAAGGCAAAACTCATGATATTTTAAAATTAAAAAATGTCAGAAAAATATGTTAGAAATAAATTACCCTTATAAGTGCATTGCACTCAATTTCGTTATTTTCACTTACGCAGAGACAGTTGCGATTATTAATCCATTTATTATATTTACCAGCACTATAGATATCTTTCTTCAGAATTCAAAAAAATGAAGATCTTTATTACTTTTTTCCCATGCATGCAGAAATTGAAAGAAAAGAGGAGACTTCAAGCTTTTGATAGGTACCAGTAGTTTTGTTTCCGATGAACTTGGGCTAAAATACAAAAATATTTATTTTACTAATTTCTAATGTTCACAGAAATTGAAAGAAAATATGCAAGCCCCAGGCTTTTGAGAGGGGTCTGGGGTGGGAAGATTGGAAAAATACAAAAATAATGAAACAGTTTTGATGTGGACTGAGAAAAGCAAATATTTAATTACGTTAATCTGCATTTCCTTGTACGTGTTAGTAAATATTCTTATACTTGATATGTTACTGCTTGTAATACAGCTGATATTGTGTGTTGAGGAACAAAGAAGGTTCGGTATTCATGCATTCCATTTTAGTTTTTTCAATTGTATATTCATATTGAATTAATGTACATTCTTCATAAGATACTGTAATAGGTGTTATTAATTGTTTCCCGTCCGAATGGACTTTTAGGAAAATGTCTCAAAAGAGCAGAAGGGCCACTGCCACTGTGCCTCTGAATTTTGTTCTCTTGTGTTATTGTCAAAGCTCTGGCCAGTGGCCAGTGATACTGGCAAAGTTGAAATGACCCAAACACTTTCCTGGACAGTGGGAGTGAACCCCAAAATAAAGTTCTTTACTCTGTTCATATTTGTTGGGACAGATGAATTCTATTTGCTATTAAATGTAGCTTTTTGTTTCTTAATACAAATATATCAAAATTATAACCTTGTATGTATTGGTGTTGTACTAGATATGGTAGCTGTTTCTGCATTAATACTTTGTTGTTGAGAGTTGATGTAGTTGTAATAAATTGGGGTCAGACGAAATTAGTGGGTTGCTATTACACAATAGTTGTACAGTGCAGTTCAGGAAATGACCGTGATTGAGATAGTTGAGCAGGAAAATAGGAAGAAAATCTAACAATATGGAAATTTGATATTGCAAAAACGGAGAACATAAATATCCAGAAATTGTAGAGGATGAAACTAAAGGTAAAAGTAAGTGAAAAAAGTTGTGGTGAGGTCCTTAAGTCCTTAAAAATTGATTCTTTTAAGATTAATTTACACATGACTTTTAAAAAATGCCACTTAAATTGCAAATAATTTCAGAATCCCTCTTAAAAAAATATATCTTATACTTTTTATGTACCAGTCTGTGTTATACATTATAAAAAACTACATGCCAAGATTTTTGAGTTCGGTAGGTTGGTTTCTGAGAGGTGAGCTGTATTTTCATTACTTCTCTTGCATTTTTTAATATGATTTTTGTTAAATACTCTGTAAAACTGTTGTTAAATAATCATTTAATGTGATGTTAGTTCCTTCTTTCATTTCTAAGAGGTATACAAAAAAGGTATGTCTGTTCAACATTGGGGTAGATTTTTAGTATTTCATTCAATGGGTGTCTTGGTTCCCAGGGAGTTAAATATACTCTGCGGCAATCCATTTTCAGCACTGTGCGTTTTTCATTTACAAGGTCCACATTTCTTCTGCTTTAAAGAAATTGTCAGTTGATGTCTTTATTGAAAATTTTGTCAACAAGAAAGGAAAAAATTTGAGTAGGATGTTTTAGTTCATAGTAGAGTAAAATGTGGGTGGGGGTCGCTTTGTTTATAGCTTGGGGCCTCATTAAAGGTTAATTTGGCTCAACATAAGAGAATTGACACATCCCTGTGTAAAAACAACTTTTGTATTTCATGGGTCGGTTTTAAAAACGTAACCATGAAGAGAAGTCATCAAATTGCTGCTATGATATTACATTTTATTGAAGACTATGAATTTTATCTGCTGAAGCCTAAGATTGAGTTCACTACTTCATTTTCTTGGATAAATAGTATGAAGTGAGAGGTATATGACATGTTCGTTCGAAGTAATGTTTTTTTCTAACTAAAATAGGTTTTATTTTAATAAAGAAAACATATTTGGCTAATGTTTAGGAAACAATTCTATAAATGTGACTTTCAATTAAGTCATTTCAGCTTTTTAAAATTTTATTTGAGATCCATTATTGATTTATCAAGATCTTCAAAAGTTATATAAAATCTAAGTTGTGATTCAAACTTTATTACTTCTGTACTGTTTACTTTCCACAAGATACATTGTTGAACTTCCTGAAATGGCATCTTTTTTCTAGTTGTGATTACTGAATCAAATTTCCTTTTGGTCTGAAATTGTTTATGTGTATATTGAATTTGAAATTGGGAGTGTTCAATGTTACAAGTATGAGTACTCTGTGATACACGCAGTGTTCCTCTTGTTTCTATTGTGTATAAGTGTTTGTTAATGCTATAAAAGACTTTCATTTGTAAGAAAGTTAATGTGATCTGTTTTGTTATGTGGATTTATTTTTTAAGTTATGGGTGGGAATAATGTACTAATTTTAAGAAATTAATTTTGGAGATTGTTTAAAAATTTGTATCTAAAGATAAGGCTCCTAATGCTAATATTTGTTGTTATATTGAATGTTAATGCTCTAACTGGGTGAGAGCATAGTGAATATGTTGATACTTATAATAGATAAGAAAGTATACTTAAGTGCATTTACTGTGATGCGTATAGTGTCAGTGGCATTAGTGTGTTGTGTGAATGCATTCACTTTCATCTGATGTACAATCCTTGGTTGTAATAATTGTAAAGACTTTTATATGGGAGGGTGATCATAATAAATAATTTTATAGCTTAATCATTCTTGTGTGATTTAAAAAATCATGGTAATCATCTCCATAAAATTTTACATGAATTCTAAAATGTTACTCCAAATGGATCCTTTAACCAGGCTGCGGTCCTCAGATTTACTTCTTAAGGTCTTGGGATCGAAATGGACCTGTATAATTTCTATTGCACATTGTTTGATTTTTCAACAATTAAATTTAGAACACACAACACAAAATTAAAATTATACACGGAAATGTTAATTATACTCCTTTATTTTATTTTTAAGATTGTGCAATAATATAAAATAGTGGTCACCTTTACAAAATGCATTGGTAGTAAATTAATGAATATAAAACAAAAATAGAAAAATTGTATTACATACATGTCGTACAAATGTCATTGACATGATTTTTACATGTAAATGTTTTTTTTTGGAGCAGTGCAAAGCTATTTTGTTGTCTGTTATGCAATATAAAGTGCCATCTTTCTCTTTTTCGAGTAGAATCTATCAAAACTGAATTTGAAGTGTTCTATTATTCATCGGATCTCTTGTTTACAATAAGAGTTCATTTGAAGTTCATGTCAGGTATGATTTATCTTTGTGAAAAAAACATATGAATTGATGCAAATATCTCTAATTTGATAGATACAACAATGGGCCACCCGTATCTTATTAGTAGAAATGCACCGAGGTATTATATCAAATGTCTAACAGCAGTTCAATTTGAGAAATGCAACGTGTCTAAATGAACCTGAAGAACTTGTGTGAAAAAAAATCATAACTCTTTTGGTATTAAAAATAAATTAACAGCATTTTTTTATATGGACAGATATCTGTCAAACAATAATAGACCAATCTTCGTAAGCTATTTGGAACGAAATGGATCCGAGGACCACAGCAGGGTTAAAGGATCCGTTTGGAGTAACATTTTAGAATACATGTAAAATTTTTATTTTGTTTGCTTTTTTCTCTTTTCCATCCTTGCGTCTCTCTCGTTCTTTTTTTTTTTAATGTTTTTATTTTTTTTCCTATCCTTGTGTACAATGTACTTATGGAGTGGATAAATGGCATGAAGTTATTGTTTAGATAGATGTTCTAACCAGTCCAAAAATTTAATGGTAAATTTTCCATCTGGATTTGAATATAGCACACCTATAAATGAACTTAAAAATTAATTTCAATGCCTGAATATTTCATTCAGAAGCATTTGCAAACCTTGAAAATTATTTACAGGAAGATGATGCCTGTTACATAAAAGGAGATTCCAATCCAACATATGTATTAGAGACCAAAAATATCCTAAAGTAGAGTACAAAAGTTTTGCAGAAGAGTGCTATAGGTTTGACATTTCATCAAGATAAGACTATTAGTTTAAATTTTCAGAAACATAATGAAATGTGTTGTATAATAGGACAGCAGAGACAATGGGCAATGTTGCGACATTGTAATATATATTCCAAAATTTGTATGGTTACAATTATATTTGGGGAAATTTGACAGCACCACATAATCGAGATATGTTATAAGATTAATTATTTCACAGCGTTTGTTAAAAGTGCTTCATTGCAATTAAACTTTGATAATAGACAGGTGAATATGCTATATGAATCCTTTATGTTTTGTTATAAATCGGAAAGGAATTTTATTTTATATGTTTAGTGTAATGAAAGTAAATTGTTAGTAAGAGATGTCCCTGAGGTTCAAATAGGACACTGAATTTTTAGTGTTGATTGGTGTGTTTTTAAGGCATGCCTTGCTACAATTAAAAATAACTAGTGACAGGACTTACACAAATTATACAAAAATAGCAATCAGACATTGATAAGATAAAATATGTAAGAAACCTTATCTGCACATTCAGCAACAGAGAATGAAATTCTTTTAGCCATGAAGCAGAAAATGAAGTAATGGAAAATATGTCAATTATTGGATACAGCCTTCATTGTCGCACAAAGGAAAAGATGTAGAGAGGAGACGATTTAACCCTGCATAAGGTGGTATACAATCAATCTTCAGGATTGAAATGAAATAATCAAGTGACTATAGAAACATTCCTTTGGTTGTTTTGTGATTTTTAGTATCATAAGTAAATAGGCACTTTTTTATTTCCTTAATTTTTTTCTTTTGCTGTAAATGGGAAAATTTGTTGAAAGTATTTCACAAACAATTTCACATTACAAGTTCTAAGTAATTATGGTTCATTGTTGTTTTTCTGTCTTTTCTTTTCTCTTCTCACCATGAAGCAGATATATTGCTACCTTGTTTTTTTATAAGGGTGAAATTAGTACATGTTTACTTTGGTTTGTTGGTTGAAAAAATAATGTGCGCGCGTGTGCGTGCCTCTTCACGATGGAATACTCACGGTATTACCGTGATACTCGCGCAAAAAATTACGCGAAAAATACTCAAATTTTCGAAAAATTGTACCTGACCTTATTTCAAAATCTATCATTAAGAAACAGATTTTATTAAGAGAAAAAAAATCTCTATTTCCAACATTTTAGTTGTAGGAACGTGCCGAAAAAATTCGAATTTTTGCAATTTTCAAACAATTAGAGTTTTAAACAAATTAGACCTGCAACATTCTCTTTTAAACATATACATTTTAAACATTTACATTATCCAACAACAAAATCGATAGAGTGATTTTTTGAAAAACTTTAAAATGTTTTCACTTCACGTAAAGTACCTTCCAAAATCAAAATACTGATTGCAAGAGGCCGCATCAGCCAGATCGATTCAGGAATATCAATGTTGGACTAAATCGGCTGAACGGTTTAGCCGCTAGCGTTGTTCTCATACGGACAGACAGACGTTTTGCCGTCAATCGACTATTCGTCATTAATCACCCATAAAACATTGATTCTGGCTCAACCACGTGTTAGAGGGTATTTCTTCTAAATTTAGCAACTCGTTTTAACCAGTTTTTCGTTACCAGGGCCCTGTAGTAAGAGTTGTTGTTCTGAAAATTCGCCGTTTTTTCGCTCAGTATTACATAACTTTTTATTCTTAAGAAGTTCCTTCTTAAGCGCGAGAAAGTAAAAGGCATTTTGCCACATTTTCGGGCTCTAATTATGATCATGAAGGCTGCCTGTCTTAATGATTTTAGATTTATTCGGTCAAAAAAACAGTAAAAACTTTTTGTGACGTAGGGGCGGGGGGGGGGATATTATCTGCGCACGTTTTCTTGAGTTCCAGAATACGTTCCCGTCATTTTAACTATAAATAGTTGAAAGATGAGTAAAAGTTTAAAATATATAAATAAAAATAAATTTTAAAAATCGCACGATTAGCAATATTTGAAAAATAGTCATTTTTGTTTCTGAGTTGTAGAAAACTTATTTGCATCGGTACACGAATTGCAAGTATGATTTTTCTGCATTGCTAACAAAATAGCAACTTGCCCTTACCTCTATTCTTACCATTACAAGCAAAAGGAGAGTTCAATAAAACGTGCACATAGTGAAGCTACATTTACGTCCAGAAGCAAAAGAAGGGGCCATCTCAGCAGTTGCTGAATAGATCAGGGAAACTGGACAAAAACCTGATCGAGATGGGGCTCATTGACCCGGAAACTGACTCATTGACGGATACATTATTTGTTACAAACATATTAAGTCTTTTAAAAAAATTATACAATACAAATGTAAACTAATTCATCTATATTTCATTGTTTTGTTAAAATAAACATCAATTTTTCTTTTTTAAAAATTGGATAGTCTGGATTGTAATAGAAATGGTTATGGCAGCCACCAAAAGAATTTTACTTTTAACTTAAATTTGTGACGCGACTTCAATTGTTTAATGTCATGCTGGGCAGTGCGTTGTAAAGTAACGTACATGTATAGTAATCGTGGATTTCTTGATAGTGACTTTTTTGTACCTGACACTTGATGAACGTGATTTTACGGACGTGTGTTGTAATTATTAATATAGCATTGCATGAAAATATGTTCGCCACGTAAGTCACTTTGACAAATATTCAGAGATCGTAAATATATAGGCAAGTCAGTGGTAAAGATTTCCAAGCTCAATGAAAGAGAGGCTTGCAAGGGTTAACGCAGGATCTGTCATTTTTCATTATTCGAATAATTTCTTTTGCAATCTAAGATGTCTGAGTACAACATGATTGAGTTTTCTCCAGAATTTATGACTTCATTTCTGTGGGGTGAATGCTACACATTGCAAAATGCCATGCAACGAGCTGCATGAAGGCTGTATTTGATAAGAATTTGAATGCCGTAACATAATGAACTTAATTTAGTATTTAATTTTGTTATACGTATATTCCATTTGAGGTTTGACTGAATTGACAGGCCTAAAAATTTTATCTGAACATCACCTAATTGCATATTATTTATTTTCAATGGTGCATGCGATTGCTGATTTGAAAGGCAAAAATGCATTGAAACTGTTTTTCCTTCATCAACTATTAATATGATATTACAAAACCAATTTGAAACTTCTAAAATTGTACTATTTGTTTCTTTTTTGCAAAGAACATTCGTATCATCGGCTAATAGAATTGTTCTTCCGTTTTTAATAGACGACGGCATATCGTTTACGTATAACAGAAAGAGGATAGGGCCTAAGATCGAGCCTTGCGGGACCCCATATTCAATTGGTAAAGATTTGGAATGATAAGTAAGTAATGTCCTTTCGTGCCAGTACGGTATTTCTACTCTTTGAGATCGATGTCTGAAGTCTGATTAACGAAATCTGAGGGAAGCCTTACTTTCACGAAGTCTGACAGGCCTCGTCAGAGAGTATATAGGGCCTCATGATCATGTCTCATCGCTCGATTTCAGTCATTTGTTCACAGAATGTTAACGTTTATTCTTTGAGTAAATTTTCCTGATGCGCTAATTCACTACTCTCATATGGAATATGTTTCCTCGGCGCGAAGAGAACTTGAATGGGCGGGAATTGTTACTGTATGGTGCGATGCGAGGCCGAAGGGGGCAGGCATACAGTATATTAGCTTGTACGCCCTGAGGGAATATTTGTAACATCTTCCTTGTGCGTGAATGGACCCGAACTTATTTATATATTAAAGGTGACTAGTATATTCTGTGATTAGATTATGGAGTAAACGAAAAATTTCAAAATCAAAAATTTGTTTCGATCGTATTCCTTGTTGGGATTTTCTTTTAACGAACGACGATTTAGACTACTCTTAGGAGGCGCCTGCAAGAATAAGTGACGGATTTGATTTTGTTATAGTTTTTATTAAATGTTGAATTCGTCAGTCATGAACTGTGTTGCCAGGAATATTTTTCTTGTGATAAGTCAGTTTTGTTATATTTAACAAATAATGAGAAAATTATGAAACTGAATTATGTATGTAAGTGTACAACCTTCTAAACATTAGTTTATTTTGAACCTTTTTTTCCAGCCTCTATATGCAAGTAGCAAATTACTGCATTGATTTTGTTGATTTGTGGACTTTGAAGAATAATAGTTGTTCATCTGATTTGCTGGCCATTTCCTGAGTGAATCATGGCTAAAGTCCAAGTGGTTAATGTGGTGGTATTAGATAATCCATCTGCGTTTTTGAATCCATTTCAATTTGAAATCACATTTGAATGTGTGGAAGACTTGCAAGAAGATTTGGAATGGAAAATTATTTATGTTGGTTCTGCAGAAAGTGAGGAATATGATCAAGTTTTGGATACAGTGTATGTTGGACCTGTGCCAGAAGGAAGACACATGTTTGTCTTTCAAGCAGATCCTCCAGATCCTGCAAAGATTCCTGTTGCTGATGTAATAGGTGTTACTGTTGTTTTATTGACTTGCTCATATAGGTATGTGAAATATACTTTTGTTTTAACATTTTAGTAGTTATCATTTAAATAATTTTTTTTCATTTAGTGGGATTATGTAGCATTTTATTGCAAATAGCAAAAATTACTAACTACTATTATTATTTTCATCACCGAGTCACATATCGCACCTCCAGGAGGAAAATACTTCAAGATAGGGCTATTGACATTATAGTTGAAATTCAATACTGGTTACAGATAAGGATAAAATGAATTGTTTAGTAAAATAATTGATTTTGCTTGCAGATGAGTGAATATTTCAAGTACTGCTTAATGTTTAAGATTTTATTTACCTAGTATTGTCATTTTACTACCACTCATAAGTAATAATAATAATAAAAATAATATAAAGAAATATACAATCTTGATCCTGGTGAGATAATGTCAATGTCAATAACAGCAACTTATCTTATTAACAAAAATCTAAAGTATTATTTTGTAAACTTTGGACTTGCCTCTCTCAAAAGCTCGAAAGTCTGTTGTGTATGAAACCTGTCAGATTGTTTGCATGGTTCTGAATATGTGAAGCTAAGAATGCAGTATGTGTAAAGGCCACCTAACATCAAACCATGGGTGAAGAAAACCTCCAAGAAAAATTACATAATAATAATAATGTTTTTTGAGAACATGATTTAACAATATTATTGCTAATAATGCCTAATGCATCGAATAATCTAGGGAGATGAAATAAAATTTTGGTTAGGCATTCTGCTTCTACATCTGTCCTACAATGTGGTTTAGGCAGGGCTCAGGTTATGCCAGTTTTTGCCAAGGGAAGTATTGTTGTAATTTGTGTATTCCTTCTCAACATGATTTTAAGCAAGAAAGCTTTAAATTTATTTTTAAATGTATGTATTGTGTTGATGTTTTTGATTTCATAGTCCAGTTTGCTGTAAAATGTAATGCCCTGTGTTTGGTATGTTTTCGATGAAGTGTAGTTTGAGAGTGGGGAACGTGCAGGTTAGCCTTTTGACGAATGTTGTAGTTGTGTTCATCAGAATTTAGTGTTTGTTTTCCATGAGAACCTTCTTCGTGAAGACCACTCTTTCAAGTAGATATGGTAGAGAATGAATGCTTAGTTTTTTTGAACTAGGATTTTCAAGACTCCAGCTTGAGAACGCTGGTCATTTAGAGAATTCTTTTTTTGGATAATAAAAGTGTAAAAGCTTTCAGGGTCATTTCTCCTAGGATGTTTTTCCATACTTTAGTGCAAATGCATATTTGCAAAATTCACTAGGTTTTTCTTGGGTTTTCAGACCGAGGAAAGTAGTCTCATGAGGTATAGTTAGAGAATTATTATTCATAAACAAATGCTGTAAGAATTTTCTTTGGCTCAGGTATTCATAAATGAAGAAAGGAATGGCCAATGTTTATTATGAGTTTTGTTGTCTTGAAATTATTTTATTGACACATGCCAGGTTGTTTGGGTTTCTTTTAAAATTTTGTGTTTTTATCGATTTGTTTGTTGACATAGATGATTGTTTATCATCTGCAAACAAAATTATTTTGTTATTTATTAAGGTCAAAGGTATATCATTTATCTATTTAAGGAATAGTATTCGCTTCAGGATGGATCCTTGTGGAACTCCATACTTTATAATCTGAAGATGAAAATATTTTCTGAATTGTAAATTAAAGTAGATTTAAGACTAACAGACGTGGAGAAAGCGTAATACTTCATAGATTAGTTTTCAAACATATACATAATATCAGCAGTCGATTTTAGAATGGCGAAGTCAGTTGTGTGTTGTGCTGCTTTCCTGTGCTGTATTTGACTTTTACTTGATGTATATTTACAGTGATTTTAAAAACTAAGTAAGAAAATAAATTTCTTAACTGCTATGGAGGATGTATCATAAAACTCCTTCTGCTGTAAGAAAAATCTACATTCGGGTGCTAACCCTGCAAGAAGTATATATTCAAATCACTCCAGCTGCTCAAAACGCCTAAAAGTTCTACCGTATGGAGAGATTTCAAATTGTTTTTCCGTTACTTATTAATGCCCAACTTTACTTTTTATTTTAGATTTCACTTATATTCATGACATGTAGTATTATAGTTAGTGTGACACTGGAAATGAAAACAAAATTTTGTTTTCACTTTTTTTCTTCTTTTTAATTTACAGGCCCATCTATAAATAGCCTGCTGGGAAATTGCAATTCTAAAAGAAAATATACAACACAATAAAATAAAACACTGATTTTTTTTATATTCATTGACATTTGTTATTTCAATATTCATTAACATTCATACAAATAGTTTAATTAATCATTTAAAACAATGCATTTTTGGATGAAAATTAGTGGCCTTTCTTTACATATTTGGTACTGACTGTGCCTTTGACATATGCACCTGCCCAATTAGTGAACTTTCCCTTCATATGTTAAATCTAGTGGACCATTTGTGTGTGACAATGAACTTGGATGACTCACTGTCTGCCATGCAGCAAATATCTTCATATATTGCACAGAAATTCTAGAGGATCCAAAGGTTCTTTATGAACTGTTTTGGACAGGATCCAGGCATTTACCACTGCCATATTGATCATTCCTCTGAAAAGGGGCCAATACCACTTCTAATTGAAATATATTTTCCTACTAGCCTGTTGTGCTGATCCACTCCTCCCACTTGAAAAGAATTGTAAATATTTACTTTATCGTATACAGTGTAAGACAGAGAAGGGAGAAAGTTGTGTAAATCCGTGGAAAGTCGATTGCGAGATTTTAACGGAACTTGGGGGCCTCTGATACCAAAAAAGGTTTTCTCTCTCTCTCTCTTTCTCTCTCTCTCGTTCTCTCTCTTTCTCTCTCTCTTTTTCTCTGTCTGTCTCTCTCTCTCTGTCTGTCTGTCTCTCTCTCTCTGTCTCTCTCTCTCTCTCTCTCTCTCTATATA